CGAACACAGACCTAACAATATATTGATACATTAGCTCATGGACGAACATGGTTCCAATAAAGTTTTTTTTTTTTTGCATGTTGGGTTTTGGTAATATATTCGAAACATTGCTAGGGATTTAATTCTTTACGGACGTTTTCGAGAAAAAGGACAGAAAACCTCCATTAAAAACATTGTCAAAATTGATTCTGGATGTTCAAATATCACCTTCTGCCGCAAATATGAAATTAATTTTGCGATCCGGGCATCTTTTCTGCTATCACTAATGCGCAAGCGTTGCTAAGATGTTTTTTTGTTTAATAGATTTTTGTAGATATGAGGGGCTTGGAAAATCAAGTTAATCAGGGTATTAATTTTAACAAAAAAGCATAGTATTAAACACAGATCAATATAGCACTCTTATTTGTTATTTTAAACAATCTACTGATAAGAAAACGCCTCTATGAAAGGAGGTATTAAGATTTAAAATTATTAACTCTCTGTTAGTTTTTTCAAGATGGCGGGATAAGAACAATTAAATTGCTTTCTTACGAACAGTTTTGTTAAATAAAAATTAATTTCATTTTTGATATATGTTTCAGCTATGGAACTAAGAGTTGGGAATAAGTACCGGCTTGGGAGGAAAATTGGCAGTGGATCGTTTGGGGATATTTATCTTGGTATGTTTGAAGTTAGTGTTTCGAATGTTTTTAATTATATTAAACATATTCTATTACCAGTAATACCAATAACTGAATTATTTGATACATGTAATAATATAGTGAATAGTAACGTATAATACTCATTACCAAAAATATGCACACTCATGCACTTTAAAAAAATAAAATAAAATACAACGTCAAAGAATAATAATTTTACTTTTAAAGCCTATTTTCCTATGTTTTGTTGGTTATTTACAATATAACTTTATATTATTATTACTTTTAAAATTTAAATAGTTTGTTCAGTACTGGTGCTAGCAGTACTACTAGTAGTGGTGCAATAAAATTAAAAAGATTATATGAAAAAATTAGCAAAGTATAGCACTGAATTTTATTCATTTTAACCAAGTGACTGAAGTGTCATACTTGTGTTATGGTTCTATACTTTACTGTAAGTTTTAGCTGAGTGACTGAAGTATTATGTTAAGAGTCTATACATTAATGTGAATGAATTACTATGTAATGGGTCCATACATTAATGTAACTAAGTGACTCATGCTTTAAGTTTGAATATCACATATTAAGAGTGTTACTAACATTTAAAGACCAGTTATTATTTTGATATTTATGGAAACAGACAGGTTTGTATTAGAGCTTGTAACAAGCAAAGAAATAAATATAATTTTGTCCACTGAGGTCCACTGTTTGCTCTTACACAATTACAGTAACTGCAAAGATCATGAAACTTAAATGTAGCTTTTGACATAAATATACTTACCAACATAGTAATTATTTGAATAAAAAATAAACAGCCCACATAATGTAATTAGATAAATCATATCACAAATATCTGTATTTGTTACATGCTATATATATAAGCCCTTACTAGTACTACTACTCATTTTTATGGGTGTTTTATCTGCAGTAAGCTATGGATAATGTTAAGCTATTGACTCATGCCATCTACCGTTGATACTCCCAGTCTTCTATGAATAGGTTCTAGACCTACTTTAAGATAGGTTCAGCTCCAATTAAAGACAGGTTTATTTTTCTAACATAGTTTTTAGCTTATGGAATGAGCTTCCATCAACAGTAGTTGAGGCCAGTACCTTGTAGGAGGTGAGAGGGGAATAAGTCAGAGTACACTCACTCCAGAGTAAAAACTAAATCCACCCTTTATTCTTATGGAAACCATCTATTCCCATAACATTATGGACAAGGAATCATTTGGTTCTTCAAGGCTGTCATAGTACACTCACTCCAGAGTAAAAACTAAATCCACCCTTTATTCTTATGGAAACCATAGCCTTGAAGAACCAAATGATTCCTTGTCCATAATGTTATTTAAATTCATCTCTCTTTATGAACCCTGAATTTGTATTACAAAAGATATTTTTCATAAATGTATAAACTTTTTACCTACAGAGGGCTGATTAGGGATGATGGGGTGACCTCTACTACCAATACTACTTCTAAGAAGTTGGTTGGTTTTAAATTAAGGGGAAAATATAAAACTCAAAGATTGTGAGGCAGAGTACAGTTTAATTGCAACTGAGTGCTTTGTGCATTAGCACGCTCCTCACCCCTATCCAGTTAATTAATTTAAAAATTACACATTCTACAAGTTAGATTATTATAGGCTTTTAAAATGTACATTTACTATTCCTAACATTTACTCCTTTTTTTTAGCATCAGGAAAAAGTCTTTCAATTTCCCGAACTGATTGTGTTGTGATTTAACTTTTTTTGTTACTAAACTGCCTTATTTCATGAGTAGGAAGAACTGTTAATGATAGCAGCCTTTGTTAAGTTATTACTTTTTTCAGCTCATATCACATTTTAAACATAAACAATATCTAGAGAAGTGTTAAAATGACTTTCAGATTGGAGTAAAGAAAAAAAAAAGATACTTAGTCCTTTTATATTTTGGTCAAAAATACTTTCATTAGGTTAAGTCAGGTTTATTACTCCAAGTAATATTAATTTACAGGTTTGATCCCTTTTGAAGCAAATATTGGATTCTCAACCTGTGCTTGGGATCAATTCAAAATTTCTAAATACTCATTTAGAGATGTTCCTAAGTTTTACATGTAATATTTTTAAGACTTCTGAAACTTCATTATTATATGTTTTAAACTGTTGATTAGCTCTGGTTTTTACTAAGAAAAATGGTCTCTTCTGACATCAGGAACCAACATAACAACGGGTGAAGAAGTTGCCATCAAGCTGGAGTGTATCAAAACCAAACATCCACAGCTACATATTGAAAGCAAGTTTTACAAAATGATGCAAGGAGGAGGTATTATCTGATGCAAACTTTGTTGCGCTTTAGAAACAAAATCTTATTTGCTGTCCTGTTTATCATCCAGTTAAATTTTTAATCACAACATTAACTATGAATTGGACAATGTTTATTTCTATGTCTCCAGGAATTTAAATTTTACTTATTTTTAAATGAAAATTGCATGAGAGACATGAGTTTAGGGATACTTGTATAGATGTTTTACAATTTTTTTCATGTTTGAAGTAGCACTTTTAAGAACCAATGTTTCAAAGTAAGTCATATAGACTAAAATTTTATTTTATTAACATACTCCTTTTTTTGTTTTAAAATTTTTTTTGGTATAGTTAAAAAAAGATAATTATGACTTTGTAATTTGATACAGTAAAATCTGAATGTAATGATGTTAAAATGTAGCATTTAATGATTATGACTTTGTAATTTGATACAATAAGATCTGAATGTAATGATGTTAAAATGTAGCATTTAATGATTATGACTTTGTAATTTGATACAATAAGATCTGAATGTAATGATGTTAAAATGTAGCATTTAATGATTATGACTTTGTAATTTGATACAATAAGATCTGAATGTAATGATGTTAAAATGTAGCATTTAATGATTATGACTGTAATTTGATACAATAAGATCTGAATGTAATGATGTTAAAATGTAGCATTTAATGATTATGACTGTAATTTGATACAATAAGATCTGAATGTAATGATGTTAAAATGTAGCATTTAGGTGTGTAAATTATACATTGATATATGTATATACTGGTATTGAACTGTTTGTTAGTTTCAAGTATCATTGTTGTGTGTTATTTTTCGAGGGTTTCTTGTTACTTTCTTCTTTAATTCATGTGCTAAGTTCTTTATGGCTAATGTTTCTTTTAATCTTAGCCACTGCTCATTTTCAGCCGTTCCGATAATTTAGAACTGTTCAATTTCTACATTTATACTCACGCATTTTTCTTTGTGCCGGAAAATGTTTGAAAATTCTGTATACCTCAGGTAAATTTTGAATGTAACTTTGTAAAAAGGTTGAGACATGCATTTAGGTATACCCACCCCCATACAAATAGGGTTAACAAAATGTTAAAGTCACAAGTTTTCACAATGAATTGCTGTATTGCTCTTTGATTTGTTATGCAGAATTCTCAAACATTTTCCAGCATAAAGAAAAATGTATATCTAAGTGCATGTCTCTTAATTGCACATCTTTGTATGTATTTCAGTGAACTTGGCATCAAAATATGGTTTATAATTCAAAATTTTAGTTTTATATAAGTTTTAATTTCAAAAGGAAATACTTGAATAAATTCATAGTCTACTGTGTATCATGTGGCACTTCTTGGTTCCAAATTGCCCATTTTAGAATTTATTTACTCTGTATATGATCTTTTGAATTTTTCACAAATTGTACACTTATAACAAAAGAAAAAATGTACCTTTGATTTTATATTTTTTAACTTTCACTAAAACTGATTTTAATACAGTTAGTGTTAAGACAGAGAAAATAAGAGAGTTTTACCAAAAAATATGTGATATTCATTAAGGAGGATCTAGAGGTTATGCAAATGAAATATGAAAACTGTAAGGTGGAAAAAACATTTATTCTTAACTATAAAATCACTCAGATTAAATTCATAAGTTCAGACAAACCCTGAGTAAAAATACTGATGAAAAATATTTGTAATGTTTACTAAAAGCTGTGAAGATAATACATTTGGACTTTAGTAAACATTGCTATGTAGAGCTTCATAGAAATGAAAAGTAGTACAATGTACAAACACTGTACATGTAGGGTTAGATTTCTTTAGGACCATCAGAAGCAAGAAAATAAAAGTAGTCATCTTGAGCATTTCTTTCTGTCGTGGTAAATCTGGGTGATTCTATACCTTATTAACTGTAATAATATTGAGCATTTCTTTTTGTCGTGGTAAATCTAGTTGATTCTATACCTTATTAAATGTAATAATTTTGAGCATTTCTTTCTGTCGTGGTAAATCTGGTTGATTCTATATCTTAATAAAAGTAGTCATCTTGAGCATTTCTTTCTGTCGTGGTAAATCTGGGTGATTCTATACCTTATTAACTGTAATAATATTGAGCATTTCTTTTTGTCGTGGTAAATCTAGTTGATTCTATACCTTATTAAATGTAATAATCTTGAGCATTTCTTTCTGTTGTGGTAAATCTAGTTAATTCTATACCTTATTAAATGTAATAATTTTGAGCATTTCTTTCTGTCGTGGTAAATCTGGTT